CGGCGAAGCTTGGTACACTAAACTTCTTCTATTTTCAACCAATTTCAGGGCAAACATTCAACATAACATTCAATCAAACAATAATACCAAAAACCAACTCAAATAAGAGTGAAAGAAGCAACAATAACTACGTACCTCATGTGGGGCGTTACAAATGATTACTTAATTAATTATGACATTATTTTATAAACATTAGTAATTTACTATATTAGCACAGTATTTAATTAAATGATTAGAAATTTAATTAATTATAACATTATGTTATAAATTTATAATATAATTACTTAATTAATTATAATATTACGTTATAAACAAATGATTACTTAATTAATTATAATATTTTATTATAAATATTAGTACAATACTTAATTAAATGTTTAAAAATTTAATTAAATATTATATTATAGTAAAGATTTATAGTATGATTACTTAATTCACTATAACATTACATAATGAAATGATTACTTAATTAGTTATGACATTATATTATAAACATTAGTAATTTACTACATTACCACAATACCTAATTAAATGATTAGAAATTTAATTAATTATAACATTACATTATAAATTAATAAAATGATTATTTAATTAAACGATTACTTAATTAATTATAACATTCTATTATAAAAATTAGTATAATACTTAATTAAATGATTAGAAATTTAATTAATTAAAACATTACATTATAAACATTAGTAATTTACTACATTAGTATATTATTTAATTAAATGATTAAAACTTTTACTAATTATAACATTACATTATAGATTTGTAGTATGATTACTTAATTAATTATAATATTCTATTATAAACATTAGTACAATACTTAATTAAATGATTAGAAATTTAATTAATTATAATATTAAATTATAGATTTATAGTATGATTGTTTAATTAATTTAATTAATTGTTTGTGTTTTGGTTTTAATTGAGGAATTTTATGTGAATTATAATGAATTGATTGAATTTAAGTGTTGCCTAGAGATTAGAGGATTTATGAGTCACATTAGACACAAATTAATGAATAATCAAAATTTGTTAGGGGTGTATTTGTAAACTTTTAAGGTATTTTTTTCATTTTTTAAACATTAGTAATTTATTATAACATTAAATTTTAGTATGATCACATAATTAATTATAATATTATATAATTAAATGATTACTTAATTAATTATGACATTATATTATAAACATTATTAACTTACTATATTAGCACAATACTTAATTAAATGGTTAGAAATTTAATTAATTATAATATTACGTTATAAACAAGTGATTACTTAATTAATTATAACATTATATTATAAATATTAGTACAATACTTAATTAAATGATTAAAAATTTAATTAAATATAATATTATATTAAAAATTTATTGTACGATTACTTAATTCATTATAATATCACATTATAGTATGACCACATAATTAATTATAACATTACATAATGAAATGATTACTTAATTAATTATGACGTTATATTACAAACATTAGTAGTTTACTAAATTAACATAATACCTAATTAAATGATTAGAAATTTAATTAATTAAAACATTAGTAATTTACTACATTTAAAGGTGGAAAAGTAACCCGCCCGGCCCGGCCCGCGGCGGGTTACTTTGTTTGGCGGCTGGGGCCTAACCCGCCCGCCAACAAAGGCAGGCCGGCCCGGCCCGCAAGCCCTAACCCACCGGGTTAAGTGGCGGGCTGGGCCGGGTTAGCCCGATTTTCCTATTTTTTTAGTTTTTAGTTTTTTTATTTAACTTTTCAAATAAATAATTATAAATATAATTGTTTTTAATTAACTTTTCAAATATCAATAATTCAATTCAATTTTTTTGTTTGTTAACATTTCAAATATTAATTCAATTTTGATACAATAAAATTATAATATAAGAAAAATTAGACTTATTGGAGCATGGAAATTGGAAAGTTGGAAATATGAATTAAAAATTACAAAAACTAATAAAAATTAAAATATGAGCAAATTGCAAAAACTAATAAATGAATAATTGAGAGATTAGAGATTAGAGAATATGAGAGAATGAGAGAATTTGAGTTGTGAGAAAAATGTGAGAACTTAGGGCCAATTTATAGGAAAAAATGGGAAAGAGAAATGACGAAAAAGACCCTTCCAACGGCTATAAAACGGCTATATTTCGAGGGTAAAGGGGTAATTTGAAAAATAAAATAAAAATTTTTATTTTTTTTATTTTTTTCGGCCAACCCGCCGGGTTGGCTGTTGCAACCCGGAGGGTTGGCGGGTTGGCTGTTGCAACCCGGAGGGTTGGCGGGTTGGCCGTTACAACCCGTCGGGTTGGCTGTTGCAACCCAGAGGGTTGGCGGGTTGGCCGTTACAACCCGCCGACCCGGCGGGTTGTAACGGCCAACCCGCCGGGTTGCACACAGCCAACCCGGCAACCTGCCGGGTCTCTTGCAAAAGAGACAAAATAGCAACCCACCGGGTTGCGGGTTGCCATTGTGCAACCCGGACCGCCCGGGGGTTGCTTCCGGGTTAGGGTCAACCTAGACCGCCATCTTGGCGGTTCGGGCTTAACCCTCATTTTCCCGGGCCGGGTTAGGGTTGACCCGCCTAACCCGGCCCAAACTTTCCACCTCTAACTACATTAATACATTACTTAATTAAATAATTAAAACTTAAACTAATTATAACATTACTTTATAAATTTGTAGTATGATTACTTAATTAATTATAATATTCCATTATAAACATTAATACAATACTTAATTGAATGATTAGAAATTTAATTAATTATAATATTAAATTATAGATTTATAGTATGATTGTTTAATTAATTTAATTAATTGTTTGTGTTTTTGTTTTGATTAAAGAATTTTATGTGAATTATGATGAATTGATTGAATTTAAGTGTTGACTAGAGATTATAGAATTTATGAATCACATTGGACACAAATGAATTAGTAATTTAATTAATTGTTTGTGTTTTTGTTTTGATTAAAGAATTTTATGTGAATTGTGATGAATTGATTGAATTTAAGTGTTGACTAGAGATTATAGAATTTATGAGTCACATTGGACACAAATGAATGAGTAATTTAATTAATTGTTTTTGTTTTTGTTTTGATTAAAGAATTTTATGTGAATTGTGATTAATTAATTGAATTTAAGTGTTGATTAGAGATTATAGAATTTATGAGTCATATTGGATACAAATGAATGAGTAATCAAAATTTGTTAGGGGTGTATTTGTAAACTTTTAAAGTATTTTTGTCATTTTTTAAACATTAGTAATTTATTATAGCATTACATTATAGTATGATCACATAATTAATTATAACATTATATAATTAAACGATTACTTAATTAATTATGACATTATATTATAAACATTATTAATTTACTATATTAGCACAATACTTAATTAAATGATTAAAAATTTAATTAATTATAATATTACGTTATAAATTTATAGTATGATTACTTAATAGTTATAACATTACGTTATAAACAAATGATTATTTAATTAAATGATTACTTAATTAATTATAACATTCCATTATAAACATTAGTACAATACTTAATTAAATGATTAAAAATTTAATTAAATATAATATTATATTAAAGATTTATAGTATGATTACTTAATTCATTATAACATTACATTATAGTATAATCACATAATTAATTATAACATTACATAATAAAATGATTACTTAATTAATTATGACATTATATCATAAACATTATTAATTTACTACATTACCACGATACCTAATGAAATGATTAGAAATTTAATTAATTATAACATTACATTATAAATTAATAATATGATTATTTAATTAAATGATTACGTAATTAATTATAACATTCAATTATAAACATTAGTATAATACTTAATTAAATGAATATAAATTTAATTAATTAAAACATTACATTATAAACATTAGTAATTTACTACATTAGTATATTACTTAATTAAATTATTAAAAGTTTTACTAATTATAACATTACATTATAGATTTGTAGTATGATTACTTAATTAATTATAATATTCTATTATAAACATTAGTACAATACTTAATTGAATGATTAGAAATTTAATTAATTATAATATTAAATTATAGATTTATAGTATGATTATTTAATTAATTTAATTAATTGTTTGTGTTTTGGTTTTGATTGAGGAATTTTATGTGAATTGTGATGAATTGATTGAATTTAAGTGTTGCTTAGAGATTAGAGGATTTATGAGTCACATTGGACATAAATGAATGAGTAATCAAAATTTGTTAGGGTAGTATTTGTAAACTTTTAAAATATTTTTGTCAATTTTTAAACTAGAAGAGGTAACTGATTTTTTATAGAGTGCCCGGGAAAAGAACCAGAACCTACATTTTAGGTTCCGATTCTTTGAATTTAAGAACATCTACTGTATAATTCTAGCTCCAGTTCTTTTTTTTTTGAACCTGTACTGTATGATTTTGGTTCTAGTTTTTCCAAAAAATACAAGATACCTAAAATTGTTCACCCCTATAATCTTAACAAAAAAAAAAAAAAAAAATTAATCAACATTAATCAAGTGCCAATTCATAAATATAATGAGTTAATCAATATAAATTATGTCACACGCAAAATTCACTCTCTTTTACGCGGGCCAGCTAATCCTTCCTCACCTTACTCGCTTTTTTACGCTGGCATGCAGCTAATCCTTCCTCCCCTTATTCGCTTTCATCAAATTTTCTCTCTCTACCATGTGATCACCGACAGCGCCAGCTGCACTTCATGGTTCATCACTACTCCTCTCTCATCCCCCACACTCCATTCTCTCTCTTTTCCCCCGCCCATAAACCTTAAATCCTGCCAATGATACCACGCCACATCATCAAACATTCAAACACCTTTCTCTAACACTCGACACGTCTCTAACCATACAATCATTCTAATACTATCTTATACACGGAAACATTTCTCAACGCGTCTCTTTTATTTATTTTTTCCTTTTTCCCTCTGACTTTACTGATTTCCTTATATCACTGCGTTTTTAGTGCTTTCCCTCATCCGTTTGTTATTTTAATTCGTTCTCGGCTCAGCTTCTTCATTTCAATTCTAGTTCTAATTTCTACAACTCTCTCAACACAATGGCTAGAGCATTGCTCTTCATCGCTCTCTGCGTCCTCCCTGCTCTCGTCAGCGCCGGCCGTCCCAACAAGGACCCCTTCGAGGTACAAGGACGCGTGTATTGTGACGCTTGCCGTGCCGGTTTCGAGACCTCCGCCATCTCCTACATTGCAGGTGTGTGATGCATCTTATCGTAGTTTAGTGATGGATCTATTACTTAGATTGCTAGATCTACGCATTTCTACTTGCCTCTTTCAACTGTTCCTACGTTTTGCTCAGTGTTCAGGCTAAATGCACACACCTTAACTGACCTCTATCTGCCCTTCCAAGGTTTTGCTCAGTATTCATGCTAAATGCACACACTTTAACTGACCTCTATCTACTCTGCCAAAGTTTTGCTCAGTATTCATGCTAATTTCACACACCTTAACTGACCTCTATCTACTCTTCCAAGGTTTTGCTCAGTATTCATGCTAATTGCACACACCTTCACTGTCAAACATGCTAAGTAACCGTACCCTTAGTTTCGCCGTGTGTTAGTGACCTAATGTTAAGTACATAAATTAAGGTTTATTGTTAATTTATGTTATTAGATGTTAGATCTAGCTGCGGTGATTTACAACATGTGAGGTAATCATAATTAATCCTTAAAATAGTTTTATATTGTATCAAAGTATTTAAGAACTAATTAAGAGTAGAGTTGAACGAGGTATATTGTTTGTTAATAGTGTTTATATTGTTAATATAGGAGCCAAGGTTAGGGTGGAATGCAGTGATAGGAAGTCAATGCAGCTGGTATACAGCAAGGAAGCAACAACAGACTCCACTGGAACATACAAGATTCCTGTTAATGAAGACCATGAGGATCAGTGTTGTGACGCTATACTTGTAAGCAGCCCCCAGACTGACTGCAAAGTGGTCTCCCCAGGGCGTGATCGTGCCCGTGTCATCCTCACCGATTCCAATGGCATCGCCTCACGTCTCCGCTATGCCAATTCTTTGGGGTTCATGAAGGATAAAGCATTGTCTGGCTGCGCTCAGATCCTCAAGCAATATCAGGAGGAGGACGATGAGGACTAGAGATTGCATGTCAGTGGGTTTTTTTTTAATGCGTCTAATTGATTAATTAAGCTTTGTCTGCCCTGTTATTGTTATTATTACACCTATTATTATTTATTAATTTCTGGATGCTGTTTCTGTGTTTAGAGGATTGTTTATTTGTTGTTAATGAGACTCAACAATTATATACACGATGTCGCTTTTCTCATGGCCTGCACTTATTTATTTCTGCAATAAATCTATGTATTCAGAGTTTGAAGTTATCTATACCGGCATGCTTTGGATCGCATAATCTGTTGATGTATGTTTAATGGATTGCTTTGAAAATCTGCTTTGCTTATGTGATTGACAAGTTAACATTTACTAGGAGCTCTAGAATTACACTTTCAGGCTTGGTAGTCGGAGTGTGCTAAAACGATGTTGAGCTGTTCAAACAAAGTTTGATCAGTCTTTGATTCTGTTAAACTTTGATGTGTTTCTATGTTTGGTTTAAGTATTTTAATCAGCATTGTGTACACCTGTTGTTTAGATGTTTTGAATTTGATCCCCCTCATTGACGATGGACGGGTCTGAATTAATCTCATTGGTTAAATTTTGCTTGATCTTGCGGAATTTAAATCGAAGATGCTACATATGACCTGTCGGTTTCATAAATTTTATAAATTGAATTCTGACAAAATGTTTAATAAATAAAATTCTTGGCTATTGTGAATTCTTGCTGCCATCTATTTCTGCTGGGTTATTCGTCAAGAGTAATACAAAAGGGGCATATAAAAAGGGGCATATAAAGATAATTGTTACTCTTGATCTTCATGATTTCTCTCTCTCTCTCTCTCTTTTTCCGTTCTTTTTTTGTGTTTTCCTTCTTGTTGACATCACTTTGTAGTCCTCTTTGTATTATTTTTGTAAGGATAATATTTTTCATTTGTCAAATGTCTGTTTAAGATAAAATGGTTTTTGTAATCTCCATTCTTGTTCTCTTTGCTTCGCATCCGTAGTCTATTTATCTCCCTCACGAAACAGATTGTAGTTAAATCAAAATGTTATTCTGAGTGTTGAGATGAGTTGAATTAAATCGAATTGGATCAAATTCTGAAAATGTGCTTGATAAAATATCTGAAAAGTATATTAGAGTTTGATAAAATGATGAATAGTTGTTTAATACATTTTTTTTTTAAAGGTTTTTAAGACAAAATAGTTGTTTGGTATATTTTTTTTGATAATATTAAGACTATTTTTTAATCTCTTACATTTGTTATTTTACACCTCTATAATAAAAGTTTAAAAATTAACTAAAACACCTCAGCCATCCAAGAGGATAGTCGATCATTGGCCACCACTGTCGGATGATAGTTGACAGTTATTGGAACGGCGCACGACCGGTTGGATTTGGTCAATCGAATCTGACTGGTCATGTGCCGATATAATTGTTTGTGACCAAATCTATCGTGGATTTTGCCAGAAACGGCCAAATCGATGGCTAGATCTGGTTGTTGTTAATGGCTAGATCTCTAGTCATAGATTTAGCCGTTTCCAACCAGATCGATGCACGACCAGTTAGATCCAGCTGATCGTGCTTTGTTTTGGCTACGTTGGTTGGTAGTGATTGTTGATGGCAATGGCGGCGGCGGTGGTCTTGGGTGGATTAATTTTTAGATTAGAATGAGAGAGAAAACGGTAGAGGAAAGAGAAAGAAAAATGTTTTTAGTTGAATAGAATTGGAAAAATGTTTTCAATTGAATATAGTTGGATAATATGAAACAAGTCCCTCCCCCTTTCCATTTTTAGACAAAAAAATCTTATTTGAGTTAGATTAATTTTCAGATTGAATTAGTCAAATAAATAAACAAACACATATCTTATTTTTTAATCCATATAGGATAAGATGATAATGATCCAAAATAGTATAACAAACATAGCCCTACTTTTTCGATTTATGTCTTGTCAAGAGTAACACGAACTGGTTGTTAAAGGGTTGATGGCAACAAGTGATCCAATTAACGGCCTAATAGTTTATTACTCATCTGATAGTTATGAAAACGTCGACTGTAAGCCTTGTGGGTGCACATAAGCACTTGTTTTACTTTTGCCAGAAGGGAGAATATATATATCAACATCGAAGTTTATCATAAATGATCTGATTCAATTCTGCATTGGTCCATTTTATTACTTTTAACCCCGAAGATTTTTAACTGTTCAGTTATATATACTTAAAATTAGAAAACGAATGGGTAGCTAATTTGCATTATTCAGAAGGTTACTTATGAGGCGAGTTTGTATGCCATATCGTAATACTGTATATCAATAGCTTCATGCCTCTGAAATATGCCACTGCAAAAGAAAGCAACATCTGAATCAAACATAACTAACTGATAATATTTTATCGATAGAGCTGCCAAGGCTTTAGCTTAGTAGAACAATGATCGATGAAGAGATTCAGTTTTCAATGACAGAAACTATGTTAATGTCTCGTCTTCTCCTCTAAATTCTGTTTACAGCAGTTTAATTCTTGGACTGTTTGAATTATATTCCGAATGAAATTTTTCTTAAACTGCGCAAAAGAAATAAAAGAGAAAGTCAAGCGGAGAAGACAAAGACAGCTGAAAAACAGACACATCAAACGTAGTTGGGTAGACAGAACAGAATCATGTGAAAGTATATTCTTTAGCCCAACCGCACAACAATTAACTTTCACTGTATGCTTTAGAATTTGGACCCCAGAACTTTCGAGTCAAGATCTGAAATGAATTAGGTGGAAGCATTTGGAATTGTATATGCATGACATAAGCACGTGTTATATCTAAAACCCAACAACACCATTCACAATTTTGGAGTCGGAGTTAGGTGGTAGTCTTATTTGGAGACTCCGAAAGGTTGCTTTTGTTTACTAAATTTTATTTAATTTTGTGTTCAACAACTTACCAGTATTTCGTCCCTATAACTCCATCAAAGGCTGTTTAAAAAAAAAAAAAAAAAAATTCTCCTTTTTTAATTAGTTTAATTTTCTGTATTTTTTATATTATAATTATAATTTATATCTTTTTAATTTGTATTTATTATTTTGAAAAATATATATAATTTGATAAAATCGCCAATTCGAAAATCAAATAAAATTAAAAGTCGCCAAAACTTAACGCTAAGTAAAATACAAAAAGAAGTGCCCCGAAAATATGTTTGTTTTATAAACGTGGGGAAACCTGAAAATTGTCTAAGGCATTGTTTGGTTGCTGTTCAAATCAAAAGACAAAATCAACTAACAACAACGATTTCTTCGATACATATATGATCGTGCTGCTTTTCACTTGTGTCTGCTGAAATTTACACGTAAACTTCTCTTTAACTTTCATCTTCTTCTCCGTCAACTTTTCTCCTTTTATATTTCGCCTCGGTTTCTTCGCTACCTTCTTCCCTATTTAAAACTGTACAATATTTCCTTCTTTATTCTAACTTTTCTCCCTCTTTTAATTCTTTTTCTTTCCGCGTTGCTGCGTTCTCGTCTTCAGGTTCGTCTCTTCTGTTTGTTTTACTGCTTTGTCCTATGATATTGATTGATGTATAAATCTTCAATCGGAATCTTTGAATCCTTTGTTGAATTGGTTAGTTATAACTGTTCTTGTTATCATTTATAATTTTTGTCGCTTAATGGTAGTTATAATGTTATGATTCTCAAGAGGTAATCATGCATTGGAATTTATTTTTTTGCTTCGTGTATGTGTGTTTAAACTTTTAGGCGTTTATTGTGCTTTACCTGAGGATACAAAAAAAAACTCCTTCAAAATGTGATGGCTAAGCTTGTTTGCTTCTATTCCTTTGTTCACCTTGTGTTTATCGTCTTTCTTTTGACCATTGAAGAGTTAATATGGAATGTTCTTACGTTAAATCGCCCAACTGATTTCTGATGGCTTTCCTTTAAATATTTGCTTTAACTTATGCACTGTTGTTGTTGTTAAATATTAGGAATAAATTTGTTTAATTTTTGTCTTTATATTGAATTTCAGAATGGCCACTGCTGTCTTTAACCAAGCCATTGGGACTCTTCAATCCAATAGACTTTTCAACAGCTCTGGAGCTCATCATGAATTTGGAAATGTTCCGGCGAGATTGACTCCAAAAGGTTTTAAAGTCAATATTGAATTGTCAACGAACCGGAGTTATGGGTTTGGCAAGAGGAATTTTGGTGCAATTCAAGCTTCAGCTTCTCCAACTTTGGTGGATCCTGTTTCATCCCCTTCAAATAACAACACCAGTGACTCCAAAAAGAAATCCAGTAGCCATCTTCTTTCTCTGCAAGTTTCGTATATAGTTAGTGAAGGGTGGATGAATGTATATGTATCAAATCTCGGTCATACATCATACCAACTTGAAAAAGCCTTTTCCTTACTGTGTCTGTCGAAAATTTCTAACTATTTGTATCAGCCTTGGTTGGCGAAACCTTTCATAGCCAAATGCATGGTTTTGTTAATTTTTTTCTACTCAATTTGAATTCTCTTGGTAGTTGGGGTGTTTTTTTTTTGTTTTTTTATTTTTTAAATCCTCTAATACTTATTTCCTATTCCATTTCAGGTGAAGCAGCTTTGATACTGGTTCGACATGGTGAATCTTTATGGAATGAAAAGAATCTGTTCACAGGTTGTGTTGATGTGCCATTAACCAAGAAGGGTGTGGAAGAGGCAATTGAAGCTGGAAAGAGAATCAGCAACATACCTGTCGACATGATTTATACATCAGCATTAATTCGTGCACAGATGACTGCTATGCTTGCCATGACCCAGCACCGACGTAAGAAGGTAGGATGACATAGGCATCTGGCTTGTAGGTGTCAGACAAAGCAAATTATTTTGTTGATCTTAATAGCAAGGATATGTAGGCATGTCTTTAAGTTAGTCTCTCTTTACCTTTCTTTGGTGCAAAATCTTTTGTTGGTTGAGCAAATTTGAAATTCATTTGCACCCAAATACATGTATAACTATTAAAATGTCTTAAAGACTTGCTTTAAGTTAGGTAATTTTTTTTACTCCACTAGATATCTGAATCCAGTGGCTTCTTAAACTTCTAACAAACCATTCATCTGCTGGCAGGTGCCTATCATTATGCACAATGAGAGTGAACAGGCAAGGTCCTGGAGTCAAATTTTCAGTGAAGACACTATGAAGCAATCCATTCCCGTTATAACAGCATGGCAATTGAATGAAAGAATGTAACTATTTTGCTCTGCTTTTCTGACCATCCTCTCCACCCACCTTCCCTCTTCTTTTTTTTTTTTTCCCATTTTTTTTGTACTTTTTCTGGCTCTTTATTTATTCTCAAATTACGAGCCTTTGTTCTCTTCAGGTATGGGGAATTACAAGGTCTAAATAAGCAGGAAACAGCTTATAGATACGGGAAGGAACAAGTTCATGTGTGGCGACGGAGTTATGACATCCCTCCACCTAATGGTGAGAGTTTGGAGATGTGTGCTGAAAGAGCTGTTGCTTATTTTAGAGATCAGGTATTCAAGACTGTGCTTTTGTATATCTAGCTACTTTCTGATTTGTTTGTGTAAATCTTCTATCTTTACATATGCTATCAATTCACCAAGGACCTTGGTTTGTGAAGATTCAATTACCCCTCATTATTTCATAGCATCTGATTGCTGAAGCTTTCACACTGCAGATTGAACCCCAGCTTCAAGCTGGAAAGAATGTAATGATTGCTGCCCATGGCAACTCACTGAGGTCCATCATTATGTATCTCGACAAATTAACTTCTCAGGAGGTGATTGACCGATTTTCTTTGAACTTCAATCTTGGCCATCTTTGTGGCACTTTTCTTCATTAGCATACAGCAAACCTTGTCTCCTTTCTGAATCTATTTCCTTTTTTCAATTATTTTAACAGGTGATCAGTTTAGAATTATCAACTGGAATACCAATGCTTTACATATTCAAAGAGGGAAAGTTCATCAGAAGGGGAAGTCCAGTAGGACCAACAGAGGCGGGGGTTTATGCTTATACTAGGGTACAAAACTTCTGTCCCTTCTTTTTGTTGATTTATTCAACACTTGTATATAATACCATCTACTCATGAGCACAACATAGATTGAGTAACCAAAACTTTAATAGAGTGAACACTTGAGAAAGAAAATAAACAAAATTGTGATGGTTTTTTTTTATGTTGTCACGGTATGTAAGATACTAAGAAAAGAGAGAGGGGTGGACAGAAAGGGACCTAGAAGTCCCAACTGTTTCCAATTGGAATTTGTTGTTTTCGTGTAGCATTCAAAAAACTCACTTTTTTTCAGTTATTAGGGCATCAACAAAACCTTGGACTTAAGTCTTAAGAAATTAAGTTTAAACTCTATATTGAATATGGATATACCCTGATATAAATTTGAAGTGGCTTTGCTTTTATTGAAGAATCTTTTAGCTGTTGACTAAGGCCTTAAAATACAAGAGAAATATGCTTCTGTCACATGGTTTTTCTTTCTGCAAGTATCATTTGTTGCGATATATTTCAGGATAAGTGGTTAACTTGTTAATTTTTTAATAGCTTTCCTTGTTAACTCTTCTCTCCTTTCCGCAAATCACCAATATGACACCTAACACTTTTACTGCTTGAATTGCAGACTTTAGCTCAATATCGGCAGAAGTTGGATGAGATGCTTCATTAATGTCTTTGAAATATAGGTAATTTTTCCATTCCTGTTTATCATCATCTTTTTTAGCTGCTGTGATATGTTTTTATTGTCTGCTTCTGAGTTGTTTCTTAACCTTACACGTCATATCGCTTTTTTCAGGGATTTACCTCTTATTGCATCACATCTGCAGTCCTGTTGGTGTCATTGTCGGATTACAAAGGAAGGAAATACACTGGTGCGAAAGCTAGTTTATATGAAATATACCGGTATAGATATAAACCAGTAGGTCAGTAAGTCGGCTATTGCTTTGTGTACTATTTTGTAGTAGTTGATGTTACGAAGCCTTGGCTTTGTTCAGGGTAGATGTTTGTGTCTGTGTGAAAGATAGAGCTCTGTTATATGGACAGGAATAAGACAAAATTCCCCCCCTTTTTTTGTTCTTTTGTTTTACTGAAGATAGTACATCACTTCCAATTTCTATCAACTGAACCTGTATCAATCACCATAGCAAATGAAGTGCCATGGTCAAACATTTCAGGGATGATATGTGAAAAAAGCTGTAGTATGGCGCAGATTAATGAAGTGGACCTTGACCGAAATTATTTGTTGTTTGTTTTCCGTGAAAGAGAAAGAAAACTGAAAAAGACGTTAACCGCATTCAAGTTTAGACTTGCGTCCACACTTTTGCTTTGGCATTGTGTTCGTTGTCCTCTGGTCAAATTGCACTCAACAAGAGGTGGTAGCGCGATGATTAGAATTTGAAAGATGGGTTTAGCTCATCTCTCTTATTTTAGAAAGAAATAGATTTAATCATTACCTCCACTCGAGAGTCTTGTCATATTATCTCTAGCAGAGTTTTAATTTGATGATGTTAATTTCTTCAACTTAAATCAACCGTAACTCTCATATCCTCTTGTAATTTTCAATATAGTTATTATACTATGCCTTTAAATGCTAGGGGTTTGAACTCTATTAAAAAGGGTAATATATTACACTTACAATCAAATCTCACAATTTGTTTTTCACAATTACAATATAATAATTCGCAATTGATTAGTTCGTAATGAGTTTTGTATACCCAACAATGAATCTCGTCTATCCAATTATGAATTAACCAATTGCAATCTGCTACGTTGGGATTGTGAGAAAAAATTTGTAAGATTAGATTGTGAGCCAATCTTTTTAACTACAGGCAAGGATAATAATGTAATCAATAAAAAAGTTGTATGACCGGTCCAGAATATTACACAAATAAAAAAGCATTGAAAAATTCTAACATGCCTCTTAAGAAGAAATATGGAGAAACAAGAAGATAACTCCATCAAATAACCTTGAGTAAAAAAAATTCATGCATTAAACGTTCAGAATACTAAGATACAACTTGAGAAAGAAAGTCTCTTTGATTTGTCATTCTAATGAAACTGTCAATCATCAATGGTAACCATACCCTAATAACAAGGCCAGGCTATGCTGTTTCATCTTCATCCTAATGTACTTCTCCCACGACAGTCTTGCTACCGTCAGTAATTTCATTTGTGGGGACAGCTTCTGAGTCTATTTCATCAGACGGTGAAGCAACTATTTTATCATTGTCAGAAGTATCTGAGTCAGAGTTCAAGTTAAGAGAATTGGAAGCGGCTGAAGTCAGGGCAGGTTCGGGGTCTACTAGGGGAGGAATTTCTTTTTCTTTTTCTTTTTCTTTTGTCCAAAAAGAGGGCATTCTCTTGTCATCTTCCCTCATCCTCTCGGCATATTTATTGATGTTGAAACCAGAGTTATCATTTCCACCAAATGCAGACTCCAATTTATCCATATCAAATAGCTCCTCCACTATTTTCTTGGAGTTGGGATCATCTGAGTAAACAAATTTGACTTTATTCTGAGTCTTGGCCTCTAGAAAGGGTTTTACCACCTGCACCAATACATTATCCTCAAGTTGCAGACTAGTACATAAAAATAAAAGTCAAAGCCACAGCCACAGCCTCGGCAGTGAAATGGTAGACAAATTATGAACATCATTTTGGCAACCAGTTTGTGAAAACGCACAAAGCAGTGAATGCATTCAGTGATCTAATAAGCCTAGAGCAGCACAAAATCAAAATGGAATATGTAATCAAGAGCCAAAGTAGCTGGCATACAGCCATGCGACCTAAAATCCATTCACATGATTACTACCACACATCCTCAAATAGATTCACAAAAGCGCGTGCATGACTTCACACTTATTATCTTAAAAGTTTGAAAGTATCATGAAAAGAATCATAAACAAGGTAAAGTGGGTTACCGTCCAGAATGGTTCAAAGAACTTCGGTGGGTTGTACAGTATTGCCACACCAAGGCGTTCTGGATAACGGTCTTGTAAAACATGGGCTGTTTCCCGTGTTACCTTCACTGAAATATGTGATAAATTGAAACCTTGGAAATCGATTAGCCAGACCATCTGTTCCTGGTCTGGCGGCAGATTTGAAATAGCATTCTCCATGCAGTACACCAAGTACCTAATTTGTCCTTTAGTCGACTTTGAATTCTGCAGTCAAAACAAACTTTAATAAAGGATAAACAACGTAAGTTGAATAATCTTCTTCAAAACTTTTAATCTCAATGCATGACAATCATGTATTACATAATATCCTCAAGGCCAAATATCAGTGAATATTCAAACAAAGTTCCATTACATGCATATACAACTATACAAGATTTCCTCTGCCACCAATGAATTATGATTAATACACTCAATTCTACAAAATTGAGAAGGGAATCTTGTAACATTTATGCTTTCCAGATTAATGAGACTCACTAGAGAAAAAGAAAACCAATTATGCAAGGATCTGCTCAACGATTTAATTATTTCTGGAAGATGGATTCCGTGCTTGAATATTAAGAAGATTTAGATGATCTGGAAAGATGAAACTTTCTCCAACCAATAGGAAGTAGCATCTTTACAAATAATCAGACACAAATAAAGGGGATTATCCAGAACAAACCTGATAAGCAGGTCTCATGACAAGTACTGTTCTTCCATACTTGTCAACATAATTTGATCTGTAGATTTTCCCTGTCTCCGCTTCATGAGCAATCTCATTCTACATCGCAAATGAAAATAGTGACGTTAAAGTTCCTGATCTAAGGGCAATATAAAAGATATATAGACGGCAACCAGAAAATATTATCAGGCTTCATTTTATTACTGATGATCTGATAACATTAACCTTCAGAAATAACATAAAATGAAAACCTGATCCAAGCAGACCATATTTGGTCTAAGAATTCTGGCTTAAAGTTACAAAAAAGTCTAGTGCAGATAAATGGTAGCATACCCAACGAATCTCTTCTGGTTTGTATTCTGCTCTCCATTTTAATGTTTCTTTTAGCATTTTAGTTGCCTTCTTGACATTCCAATTCCGTGCAGTTAAATATCTTGAGATTGATGCATCAGAGCAATAAATGGATGACCTATCAGACAATGGTCCCAGCAACTTCCTCACCTCGTTAATCTGCAATATAAAATTGTTTTATGTGGTTCACAGCTTATTCTCTACACATACATAGTAACTTTTGCAGGCCTCAATTCTGTGATATAACATGTAAGAACTTATGACTTGGATACAGAGCTCATTAGACAAAAATACCTTCGCTAGTTGCTCTTCAGATGGGAAGAGCTTCTCACACTCATTTGAGGCAGATTTCTTTATACTGTCGCTCATAGCTTACAAGAAGTCTCCCTGTAGAGTCAAGAGCTGGAAATTTTAGAACTTTGGTGTTGACTACCTAAGTGAATGTAAAAGTAAACGTGTTTAACAAAAAAGAGAAATCATAATTCTTCAGAAAAACTCAATAATAAACAACTATAAGAAACATACAGAAATATCTTGACAAAATATGCATACATATAATGTTAATGGTGAACATTTTTAAAATGAAGTCTTACATTATTTTTTGACCATTAGATTAAAGTACTTTGAATGATTGGCATTGCATCTAGCATATATATTATTGATCCTAGCTCATAAATCAAAATACCAAAATTTTATTGCACTAATGCTCTTTTGTTTGTGGCAAAATGTAGGATAGTAACCAATACACACAGGAAAAAAAAAAAAAAAGTATTTACTAAATAAAGGCCAACACAGGTAGTATGCCGACACATACAAATAAGCTCTAGTTTACATAAATGAGAAAATAAATCCAAAATCCAAAACTAGCATTCGTGGTAAAAAGTGACAAACTTAGCACCCCAACAACAATTAGGTGTATTTTATCAAAGTAGGGTAAAAGCAAACTACTCAAACATGAAATAAAGTAGATCGTGCACTGAGAGAAAAGTTTTTACAAGATCTTGTAACACGATTTTGTCATTGAGAATGTGAATAATTACATTCCAGAACTTTGAAATCTTTCTGACTTATTATTGAATTCACATCCTCTCCTTTTACTTTCCAAAGTTTCTAGATATTTTCAGGTGGTTTATTACTGTGGTCAACACATAACCAATGCTACCTATGTACATTACAACTAAAAAACTGTAAATATATTAAACTTTTCTGTATACAAAGTCAGTAGACTCAGCACTGACTGAACCAAAACTAGTAAAATTGACAAGGCTTTAACTCTGCTTTAGCACCCAATTTCAGTATAATTAGTTCATGCTTAGCGTGAAAGATGCATTTATGAAAATGCATACATATTCAGCAACAACTTACGCGTCTTCCAAAATTACAAACAACCACTAAAGACAAACAGTAAGGCAATCTGACAAGATTGGAATATGATGAATTTTGTTCCAATACAGAAATAGTTACATTTTACAATTCCACGTCAGCTATTATCAACAAATAAGCTGCTCACACTTTCTTCTAAGTTCTAAGAATCAAGCAATTGCCTATATCCAATACGCTAAAAATATAATGTTCTTTTTCACAATAAAAATATTATATAAAATATAATCTACCTAATCCAAGAAGCTTCAGCCAGATGGAACAATCTGATCAAAACGAAACGTCCTTAAAACACGGAACCTAAGCTTTGACGAGTGATGATCGATGAAAAAAACATATATATTCAAAATGAAAGGCTAAAAATAACAAGATTTGTCAGTTAAAGCGCTAACCTGAGTGATCAATGAGCCGAATCCTGAAATGAACGATTATTTGGGAGCTCCTTAATCGGTGAAAACCATGAAATCATCAAAAGGCTATTCTAAAAAAAGAAATCGCGAGATGTGTTTCGATTGATTTTATTCTCTACTTTGATGGAGGTTTTCACTGGGATCCAGTCGTTGAAGAAACCGGGAAATGGCAAATGCTTGGTGTGTAAAGTAGACGAGGTTAAAAAATTTGAATTATTTTTTGGTTAATAATGGAAGGTACATGTGGACATTGTGGTCCTTTCCATAAATGTCCTTTTTTATAAAAGTAAATGTCAGAAATATCCTCCAGTTAAATGAAGAGATAAATGGCAGTTTGGAGAATTGAGTCAGATAGTCCATGAAATCAGCCAAAGTTCCAGGCAAGAGACAACAGTATATGCTGGTACCCCTGTTGATTCCAAATCTGAAAGAGTGATTCTTGTTTGACAGATAGTAACAAGAAATCTCCACGTTTTTTTTGGATTAATTATTAAAAATTGGTATATAAAGTACCCCATAGTTCCTCGAGTGTCCACCACCTAAACCAAACAGGCCGTTTCAACCTCCACACCAAATTTTCACTCTGCTTTTCACAGTGTCGGCGTAAATAAATAAATACGACGAATAAATTAAACGTGCAGAAGCAAATGAGAATAGGAATGATACCATCCATCTTTGTTGACAATTTACAAAAGTTATGCCCACATGTACTTCCACTTTTCAACCATACTTCATGATAAACATCAAATATTATAAATCATTAATCTTGTCGTTAAAAAGATTTTAATCATTTAGATGAGTTATTCAAAAGTCTTATGTTCAAATATTATTGAATAATTATTTATTATTTGTAACTTACTTAGTCTATTGAATTTGTAAGATGCTCAATAGGCTTCAGGATCCGAACATCTCAATTATCAAACAAAAACAAAAGGAAAAAATAAAACATCACGAATTGTCCTGTAAGGATTGCGGAGTAATGGGAAGGTCCCTAAATCGATTTTGCCAATTAAATAGAAGGAAAAGGACCAATAAATCGGCTTTGCCAATTAAATAGAAGGAATAGGACCAATACCTAACTGCCACAAAATAAAAGTCATTACTTCAAACCCAAGATCTGGTGAATTATGATAAAATTATGAATTAAAGTGATGGCATGATTTGGTTTTGACGTGTAATTTTTTCACCCTTTGATTAAAAAGAAAACAAGCACATTCAAAAATCTTTTTCAGTTTTTTTTTTTTTTTTCTTTAGAAATAAACTATGCAAATTCAGTAACACGACATTAATGTACACGTAGCAGATGTATTAATAATGGAATAAAGACAACTTAAATACATCAAAACCTTATTAAAAATAACAATAAAAGTTGGACATTTGTGGTGGGATTTGACCACCTTACTAACTTACTTGGCTGTATCGGACTATCAGTTCCCCTAGGGGTTTAACTGGAATGAAACCTGTCAAGTAATGTGGAAAATGGAAGAGCATCAATTTTTAATACAAGAAAATAAACATAAACGATAAACTGAATAGTGCCAAAGCAGAGAACAAACCATATTCCACATGAACCCACATATATGCCATGTGCTATTGTTACTGATAACCAATAGCACCTCAGATGTCACGGAAGTGATCATTTTTGTTTGCAATGCATACTTGATAGCTGTCCATGTCTATACAATTATTTAAATAATCCCTATTTCCAATTCAGTCCACGGAACAGAAAGAAGCTAACTATATTCGTACATTGAGCCGTTAAAATATTTGGTCTTACATATGTGTAGAAGCGCATGTGTCAGAAGACGGACAAAGCCAAATCAAAATACAGGCTCTACAATACCTGAAAATGTTTACTGTTTCATTGGCTGCTCCCACACAGGGTGGATCCAGGAAATCCAAGCAATTTCATATGCTTCCCCTTTTTTACGCAATTAAAAATGAAAAGACAAATTGGTAAACCAATACCTCCTAAAAACACTCTTGTGCATTACTGCATTACACAAAAGCACTTTTTTGAGTAGAAAATACAATTTAAGAATTTTTACTTGTCATGTTATATCTACAAAATCAAGACGAAACATTTAAAAAGAATTTGTATTGGATCCACAGCCGAAGATGTATGTACAAGTCAGTTGACACCACAAATGCCTATGGTATTTGAATTTCTTAAAGAGATGCTGTACTCTACTACTTTTTCTATACAGAAATTTCGAATTTCCCCACCTGTTCCAGGCATACAAATTTACTTCCCTTAAAAAAACGGAAGAGAAAATTCAGTTAACCATCCAACATCCTGCATACCTTTTCAGAAACCATCCTCTTGTGCATCTGCACGTCCAAAGAATGTACCATAACATCTTCCAAATGTGAACTCTCCAGTGAGTCGCTGATAGTCTAACCAGGAGTCAGCAGCATTTTGTGAGGTGAGCTAGAAAATCGCATGCCTTACCTAACTGAGAATCCAACCACAGCTCCCACATTAATCACTACATTGGCAAAATGGCCAAATTCAAGTTGTCTAGAGTTAACCATCTCACAGATTCTAGTCAGCAGAAAAATTCTTGATGCGAAACCCAAAAGGTAAAAGCATCTTTTTGCCACTGATGGATTCCTGTATCAAAAATATATCCACAACATAAGCAGTGAAATTGAAGATGCATGGAAAAACATCAAATAACAGAAATATAAGAACACTCGGAATCAATTCTTACCAACAAGGCCTGTAAACTGGTGGACTAAGGGTTGATATTCTACATACGACCCAAAAGCATCCACCTTTTATGAAATCACAGGATCAATTCTCAGATCTTCAGTATCAAACCAAGCCTTTGTGCACAAGTTAGAACCCAAGTTATCGTCTTTCTGGAAGTAGCTGACAAAGAGCTTAGCACCTACTTGTTTCAGATTACTTTCAAGCAGCCGATGATGCAAGCACAAAGAGCAATTTTTCCGACAGCCCTTCTGGCTCTAAGAGCTGGCACCACACAATCAGTAAACCACATAATGCTGTGATCCTCCCAGGACTTTAGATGGATTTTGCAGACAATAAACAACTAGGAATCCCTCTTTGTCACAATTCCACCAGAATTTGGCTTTTTCTGTATGCCACACTGCCAAGCATCCCTATATTTATCACCTGATTGGTCAAAGTCATCCAGGGAATTTTCCAGTGCTGGCTTAAAAGGACGGTAATTTCCATTCCGAGGCATCTTCTCTTCATCTTCTGATGGCGTTCCAGACCTGGACTCTATGTGTGGATCCAACGATCTATGTCTTGGTCCAGCTGATCTCAAACCTCTTGCATTGTTGGAAATCTTACCCTGTGATGAATTGTACCCTGGTCCTTTTACTGATAGTGATGCCAAAAATTCTTTAGGGAGGGAGTCCATGTCCATGTAACAATTCCTTGTTTTGGCATCAGCAATTAATGCAGCCCAGTCATCAGATTGGGTTAGAGCATTGGCATTTCCCATAACCTGTTAAACAAGGAACTTCTATATTTAGACATAAAAACCCGAATCAAGTCATGAGTGTTTGTGGATGAGAGTAAGTGTGTTTAAAAAAAAAAAAAAAAGGACAAAAAATAGGAAAACAAACAGGAAAAACAAAACCATACCCAAAGAGCCCGTCTTGCACGAGTAAGGGCAACATTCATACGGCGAATATCTGCAACAAACCCAACCCCATGACTTGAGGCTCGCACACAAGACATGATAATAACATCACGTTCCTGGCCTTGGAAGGCATCTACAGTATTAATATACAAATCCTTTCCTTCTTCTGACGCTAAAACATTTCGGAATTCATGCTGAAGGCATTTTAATTGCAGCTTGTATGGTGTGATTATACCAATGGAGACTTTCCCCAAACCTGAAGATTTCAAAGTTTTCTGAAGATACTCATACAAGCAAACACCAAATTTCGCTTCATCAATGTTTTGATATGAAACAGATCCACCTCTATGGGACTCCCTACCATGGATGACATCATAGAAAATATAAGGCCTAAGCAAGGGGTCCTTGTAGTAGACCTCATCAGGTAAATTAGAAACACTTTCACTGTCAGTGAGGCGTCCTTGGTAAAAGTGCCTTGAAGGAAAATCCCGGATATTAGGATGCATCCTATACTGTACAGATAACAGCATTGTTGGACATCCTGCTTGCTGGAACCTCTCAAACAGGCTCCTGCTGTATAGCAAGGTTCCAGCCGCCTTGCTGATAACTGTTGCAGGAAGCTGCTGAGGATCCCCAACAAGAACACATCGTGCTGCACCAAGAGCAAGGGGAGGAAGAACACCAACTTCACTGGCTTGGGCTGCCTCATCAATGACTACCATATCAAAACCATGAGTAAGGCGAGAAAACAACTTGCGCCCACTGCTTGAGACAGTAGTGAAAACAATCTCAGCCTCATTGGCAAAACTTGCCTCAAGACTAGATCGGGCGTCTTCCAAATTGAAGTTGCTACCAGGACGAAACTTACTTTCTAAAATATGAAAGCGAGACATCTCAACGAGAACTTTATCCCTGCCTTCAACCACGGCAGCAAGGTTCTGCAGCAATGCGTCCCGATTCTGGTCACGAGCCACAAGAACATCAGGGTCAACACCCACAGATCCTTGTGAACGAATAGCAGCAGCCGTTGCATTGAGTTCCCTTTGTAGACTAGCTATCTGCTGGGACAACATAGATTCACGCGCTTTTAAATTGTGCATCCATCCTAAAACTTCGTCACGGCTCTTAACTAAAAGTTGATCAGTTCTACGCTCAACAGAAACTGCCTGGGCTGCACGTGTTTGTGAATCTACCCCAACTCGTGCCACATCAGGTCGGTAAACCTTCATCTCACCATCAATGAAACCACGATCAAGAACACGTGCAAGAAGTTCATCAGTTGCAGCATTCGAAGGAGCACAAACTAACATTCTGGGTTTCGGGCAAAGTTTTGGAAGGGTGCGCAAAAGATTTTGGTCCATATTCTGAAGAACTTCATCAATTGATCCCATAGTAATATTGTCAGAATTGCTCTCATTAGCATTCTTATAGCTCTCAGGTGCAAGTTTCTTAAGCAAAGAATTGTAGTAGTGCTGATACTGAACCAGATGTATGACATTCAGCATTCCCCACACTGTGTGTGTCTTACCTGTTCCTGGAGGCCCTTGAACTAGGGTAAAGGGCCATGGACTCTTTGTCATCCCGCTGCTGGTACCAGCAGCAGTGTGTATAGCTGCCCATTGGATTGCTGCAAGCTGGGGTCCATTGAAAGACCTATGCAAATGATCAATAAAATTCTGTGTGAAGCATTCAGGCATGGTGGGGGTCTGATGCTCATATTTTGGGAAGTGCTCTGGGCTGGGCTTAAGGATTGCAGTTTGCATCTACAAGAAGAGAAAATATATAAGTTTACAGAAAACACAGGCATTATGAACCAAAACAAGCAAAGGTCCAGTGAACACCTGTGAATTGAGACGACAAAATGCATGCAAAGCAACGTACTCCCGCTGGGTGGTTGCAAGAGAACCAAGCACAGTCAGATACCATATACCCTTTGGATGAAGTTTCCTCAGAATATGATCATCATCAACCATGCTGCAAAAAGTAAAATTGCAAAAAGAAAAGAAACTGAAATCATTTGTAAATCTAGCTAAACTTGAACATCTTTGAAGATAAAAGCACAGAATATTAATCAAACCACAACATCAGGAAAATAGTCAAGATGTTTACTTGCTAGGATCGTATGAGTCCCCAACATAAAAATGAAGAATTGCCCCTGGGGGATCACGAGTATCAACAGGTATGTGTCGTCTAACAGTGCCAGCCACTCGGCCAGTAACCTCAGGCTCTTCCCCATCTTCGATTGACAGCATATGGTTCCTCTTGGTTCTAACTGCTTGAGAAAATAAGAGTTAAAAACTATAAATTATAAAGCTGAAAACATTAATAACCGTGTCATAAAATAAAACACAAACATCTTACCTGATCCAGGCCTGGGAGTTGAAAGAACTGCTACATCACCCTCCTTAAACACCCACTTGCAATCGCTTGTGGGAAGGACTATCACATCATACCATCCTATGCCAGCAAAAGAAAATTTTCAGCAAGTTAACAAACCAGGACAAAGACCTAAGTTATTCCCAGAACAACTTTGGGGATATATATTTTACTTTACAAACACACAGAAAAAGAAGAAAAACCAAAAGTTCTCTTTATTTTCCAAATTTCACCTAGCTCAGAACCAATGACATAAAAAAATATAACTACAAAATAATAACCCAACTAATCCTGCAGCCAAAACCGACACCAGATAACCTTCTACACATTTTCTGGCCTTTTTGCAAAAGAATGTTTCTTCAAAAGTAATTGAAAGGAGTTCAAATCATCTATTTCTTTTTTCAATAAAATAGGAAATCAAAATGTATCACATTTTGGTCTAAAGTTAATTATTTTCAGTTTCAAGTTTAGCTAGCAACAAAGTTAAAAAAACAAATATTTAGGTACCTCTCTCACGCCTTTCAATGCTCTTTATGCGAACCATTATATGCGTATCTCTTGAAACTGTTTCAGTCAACTCTTCCCATGTACTGTATAGTTGAGCTCGGCATTCCTCAAAAAGCAATGGCTCAAATACTCTAACATAATCTTCTACTGATTCAAACTGACCCGGAACACATTGAAGTTCACTCTCCTCTGATGCATCAAATACCCAATTAGTTCCATTGAGAAAATAGAGGGACCATATACAAAAATAAACTTTAAAAGGTGCAGGGACCCCAAAAAACAATTCAAACAATGCTCAGCCAAAACTACCATAAGGATTAAAAAAGGGATCAGCACCTAAATATAAATAGGCTGACAACAAGCAAGGGAAAAACTCAAGTTTAAGGATGTTAATTCATGCATATATGAAAACAAAATATATAACTGTCAACAATCATAACAATAGAAACAGACAAACTTCCAAACACAATATGAAACTGCAGCTTTTCTTATGGTATTAATAAGGTTAGATGTCCAAATAATGATTACTGATTTCCACCCCATTGACTACTTGTAGGACTCCCACCTTATGCAACTGTAGCCTGTAAGTGTCCCTTTTCTAGGCATGGGTCTGAGCAATAGAAACAATAACATTTGTTTTAAGATCTTGAAAAATCTCAAGTGATCCAAAATTCCAGACTAGATTTTAACGGTAATACAAAATTAAACTGGCACATTCTATAAAAAATGCAATTAACACATGAAAATATTAGCATAGCTCTTCACTCCCCTCTCCAAAACAACAATACTATGAGAATTGTAATCTGTAACACACAAGAGCCATACAAGGGTGATAAGATACAGTGAAAAGGAGTAAATAAGTTGTACCAATGGAATTCAGAATCTTGCTTACAGAACATAAAATCTCATCACCTTTCCATGTCCTTTGAGTGTTACGATTCTCAATAGTGTTATAATTGGAGGGACATGGAGAACTGGCATGAGAAAATCATGAAAGCCGTAAATGCATGTGGACAAAAAAATTCAAGAAAAGCGAGGGAGAGCTCAACATAATCAGTCAGTTACACAGATTTATCAATGTACAAGTACCTGGGTGATGCCAAAACTTTTCATTTGTCACCTCCCGTATAAGGCGTTCAACTGATGTGTCCTGATACAAGTTACCAACAACAGTTGGCTTCTTGGCAGAAGGATATTTCTTGTTTCCGAGCTTTGGATCCATGGAACTTTGGCTCACTGGAGCTGACTTTTTGTTAAACTGAGAAATTTTCAGCTGCCGTGTATCTGCGGGTTGCTTCCATGAACTCTGTCTTGGGATGGGTGGTTGAGAAACCTCTGCAGAAAAATCAGTACCACTATTTAGCCTCCTAGGCCTACTTATTGGTCCGGGATTCATATCACCATTAAATTCAGGTTTTGATTCATAAGGTTCCAAAGGAGTGACTTCATCATTACATGATGATGCATCATATTGTTTCTGATCCTTATTTACTGACTGACTATGCTTTTCTCCACCACGTTCAATAGGAGGAAGTATCATACGAACTTCCTTAGTAGTGCGAGTGATAATGGGTGGGTTCTGCCTCCTTGGTGTTGAAGTTTTCAAAGAGCCAGCTTGCTTGACATCTTCCAAATTAAGAAAAACAGTCTTTCTATTGCGTTTCTTCCCTAGCATTGCTTCTTTTTGCTGATCTACCTTTCTTTTGCCTGGATTATTTGCAAACTTATTTGTATGACTTCCTTCAATACCTTTAACTTCTCTTTGTTTTGGAGGCAAGCCAGCCTCTTCCTGACCATCCATAGATCTATCACCTTTAGTGCTGCCTTCAGGATGTCGGATATTGTTACTTTTCTGTTCACTTGGATCTTGATCCAATCCTGACAATGCATGTCTACTATTTTCATCCCTACTGCTTTCATGATTTTTAACATCCACACCAGCGGCAGTACAATCCATCGCTTCAGACATCTCTTGCCCTTCCAAAGCTTTATCCTGCTCATGCAAGCTAGCACTCGGATATGCATCAGCAGAACCCTCAGCATCAGACCATTCCCCTTCTTCTCTTTCAACAGCCATAGCACTTTCAGAACCTGGAACTAGTGATGGTGATGTTTTAATCTCCTCACTACTGGACTTCAATAAAGATGATGCAAGCTTAGGATTCGGATCCTCAGCCTTCTGCACAGGACACACTCCATGGCCCTGAGCAGCTTTGGGTCGAATAAAAGGCTGAAAACCCGACACAGATGATGCATGTGAGAAAGCATGATTATTCATTATTCTTTTAGGACCTGCAGATGCTACAAACAAGTCAGAAGTGTGGGGATTCGCAGAGGGAAGTGCTTTCTGCGGCTGGGAGCAGAAGACTCGGTCATTTTCCTCGTCATCCTCAGCAGGGGGTTCATTAAGATCAAATAACAGCCTTCCTCGAGAACCCATTTCATATGCAAATGCATACAAACCAAACTGTGTATTGAGATAAGTCCAACTGGTACTCTTTGTGTTCTCTTTTCAGCAAAAAATGAACATGACATGCCAAATGCAAAGGAATGGAAAAGTTCTTGACAGTGTCAGAAGAGTTCTATAAATCCACGGGTTCGGCAAGTCAAACTCTACAAAACTAAATGTTCACAGGAGGAAAGTATGAGAAACACTTATAACCAAGCAAAAGTTTGTAAGCAATTGCTATCATCCTATGATGATAACTCAAAAAAATAACAAGCAATTAAACCAAAAAATTGGCATAAAATTTACCTCCTAGACATAATGACTTAAAAGAAAAAGCCTCTGAATATTTCATAAGGAATATAATCTAAAAACTTGCTAGAGTCACCTAACCATTCTCCCACATTAGTCATAATTTAAAGCAAACAACTTCTAAGGAAATCTTTTCAATAGCCAATGTCCCGCCCACATTCACCAAAGCATTAGACAATATACAATTATCATCCTTCTATCTAAACACCAGATCAAACATGAAAGAGTGATAATACACAGGTCACAAGCACAATAACTCCTTGAATGATTATAAGAAAATCATTTAAGTCGCAGAAGTCAAAAAAACTTCATAGCATATTAAGTCCCAAAGGTCCAGTATACAATAACATTAGTTTCACATTACAAAAAGTTAAGAGAAGTTTGCTATTTTCACCTTCAACGTAGTCATTGCATCATTCTACGCATTTCAACCAGAAAACAAAAAACAAATAATATCATGCAAAATTGTCAAGATTTGTTTTAGACATCACAATCGAGTAGTATTAATTCTGGTGAAACATCTGTAGCACTTGAACAACGCATATACTGCTTAAATCCTGGCAAATACAGATAAAACATTGCATTTACGAATACACATTCAAAACCTAAACTTCTACCATGTCACCAACCAAGCAGAAAACCATTACTGAAAACAATAGACTGGAAGTGAAAATTCAACACCCAAAAAATAGAAATAAAAATAAAAAACCACATTATCAGATAAAGAAAAACAACATAGCATAAGAGTTTCTTTTACCTAATCATATAGCGTGACCTATTGTTCTCTAACAAACCAGAAGCTGACCGAGATTATGATTAGCACGCACTAACATCACTAATTAAGCCATAAATCACCCCAGATCGAAATTCCTGATCGACCTAGTTGTTTTTCCTAGGGTTTGAAGAAAATCAAACCCTTTGTTCACGTTTTCAACAGTGTTTCAATTAATCCCTCAAAAAATCATCAAATCCCGTCCTAATCAGTCATCATGTACATCACAAACTGTTGTTCACAGATCATACCTAATTATCATTACTATTAATTCCAAGTGAAAACAAGTTAATGTCAAAGGCGAGATTCACTCTATCTCTTTTTTTCCGATCTTCGATAATATTATAACAAGGATTTTCTGGAATAAATTAAATAAACAAGATTTTAAATTCAAGAAAATAATAATAACTGTAGTGAAAAGAGAGGTTTTCTTTAATTTTTACCTCTTAAGAGCTGCTTTGAATCTAGAGAGAAAGAAATAGTAACAGAGACAGAGAGAGAGAGAGAGAGAGGCTCTTTAGAGAGATAACAAAGAGAGCGAAGGCTATAATATGAGGAAGAGAAATGGAGTGGAGACGGGTTTATATAGGAAATAACGTGCCCATCTCGCCGCCCGTTATTTTCTCCGTTCACCGTTAAAACACTCCCGGCGAGTTTTTTAATCAACCGCTTTATTATTTTATTTTTTGTTTATCCTTCCTAGGAAATTGAAATTATGAAAATAGCCCCTTATGCCCCTGTATTTACATCTTCTGTCTTCTCTGAGTTTGCCGGGCACTAAACTCCAACTAGTGATCTAATGATTCAAATTTGGGCAAGTGGATCGAAATCTAGAGATAAGGATAAGGGTAACTTGGGTAGTTCACATCTAAGGATAAAATAATGTTGGGAGTTTGATTCGCGTGTATAGCACTCACATGTAAGAATCTCATGTTTAAAGTGGCAATGGACGTTGATCATGTCGAGGAGTGGGGACTATTAGAAGTGCCACGTCGGCTTGGAGGGTTCATGAGTTTAATTGGATTCGTGCTATAGGGCTTCATTATGAGTATGACACGTATTAGAAGACGAGAAAGTTGCCATTTGTGGGGATTCTTAAGGGTAAATATGTCAGTTGGTATAGGTGCAGCAGGGTTTGCTGGACTCCCACGTGCGCTCAAAGCGGAGGGGAGACACTTTCCTATCATATGAGAGTTAATTTTTTTAGTTCCTGTGGTTTCAGTCTATTTTTGTAAGGACAATTGTTTCAAATATTATCATTTAATCCTTTTACTCAATAAAAGCTTAGTTGACTATTACATTTATAGTAGAATGACAAAAAAAATCCATCTTTTAAAATTATTAAAATTTTATCAAACATTGGTTTAAGAATGCATTTATTTTTTAAATGTGTAAATTAAAATTAAAAAACACATTATAAATTACAAATTGAAATAAATATACACAATACATAGAAATCAAAAATAAATAAATAAATTGAATTTGTAATGTATAATATGTTCGTTGATACGAGATTTTGACACCAACTAAACGCACGTGGGAAATGTTGAGCTAACTCAGAAGACACACGTGTACGGGGGTATTGAGCTGAATAAAAAGTGAAGAAAGGAGTTTAAAATGGTTCGGATGCTTAAATAAGCAAATCCTATGTCCACTGGTATTGTATTAATATATGAGATCAAGTCGCGTTCAACGAGCTGATTTACAAGATATTACAAGAGAGAGAGAGTATATATATGCTATTCTAGAGAAAAATTAGCTAACCCCACAAACGGGAGAGGAACCCTCTATTTATAGTGAGATGAATTGAGATAATTATTACTAAATCAGGGAGGGTCAAATTGCCCTGTAAATCCTTCCTTGTGTCCCGTTGCTCACCTACTCAAGTGATTTACTCTACTCTTGCAGGGATTGGACACATGGATCGCCTCCAATTTTCACCAGCTAGACGCACACCTACTGCACTGACAGGAGCATAACGCTTGAGTCAGCGTGCGACGTGGCTGCGTCTGAATGACTGTTAGACTTACCTAAGCTCTGACCACTTACGCTGACAGAGCTCTACGTCAGCCCAACTTTTTCAGGCATAACAATGTTTATTTAATTTGAATTTCTGATGTGTAATGTGTTCATTTAATTTAAGTTGTTTGTGTTTTAGTATGAATTTAACAGTTAAACAATATTTTATTAAGACAAATGTCTAAAATAGTAGCATTTTGAAATCTTAAGGACCAAAATTGTAGTATTTAAAATAATTATCCTTTAAAGAATAAGCTGAAACTAAAAGGACTAAAAAGAATTAACTCTATCGTATGACAACAGCACGAGTGTTTTAGTCATGTGCGAAAAGAAAGTGTGTCGTTATTTGCTAGATTGCGACGGTGGTTTGCACGAAGTTTAAAGGAGCGTGAGAGAGAAGTGTGCCCCCAGTTAGTAAGGAAAATTGATTTAGGGTTTCAGCATTGCACTATAGTTGCATTCGTTTGTTGGTGAAAAATATGTTAAGTTCTTATTTACGTACAAAGACAATATAGCATCACACTATTCTTCTACGCCCAATAAAACTACTATTTAATACACTTTGAATGGGATAAAAATCATGTTGGTTTCAACATACGAAATAAATAATTTTATATCAACTAACTTTGTGAAGTGGATAATAACAACAATTAATGGGATTATTTAGTGCGGTTAAACCTTTGCCAAATGGTTGAAATTTACGAAAATAATAACTTTTTTTTACTTTTGTATTTCTTTTCTTCTTTTTGATGTGGGTTGTTAAGAAATCACGGATCACTGATGAACATTACCCAGTAAAGCAATTTTTTATTTTTTTGGTGTCATTAATTAAAAAGGGTGATTCAATGAACAATCTATATAAAGAAAATGACAAAGGATAACAGATAATTTCTCCTAATCAAGCATGAATCACCAGGGTGGGTAATATCGTCAGTTTACACATAAAAATGGCGTGTTATATTTCAACGTAAACTTTTTAATGAGATCCAATGACCAAGGCAGAAAAATAGTATGGTGAGGGTAACGATAATTAGATCACATTGGTGCGTGACTAAACTTCCAACTTGTTTGGTCGGCACGCTAGGCTTCGTTTGGTAAAACATTTTTATATTTAAACGCTTCCACCCACCACATTATATACGTATTATTACTAGTAATATATAAATAATAAAACAAATCATTAATAAACGAGTTGACTGAGTCAGCTCATGCCCATTTCCATTTGTGAGAATGAGGCCCATGCGTGGGCGAGTCAAGGGCCTAAACCTTAGATCATTGTTAGCTATTCCAACTTAGAAAGAGAACTAACAAAAAGTGAAAGATTATATTATGTGTTAAACGATGAAGGGCTGTTGTAACAAAATATATTATAGATTAATTACTTGTAAATAAATAAACATTATCATTAAATTCTTCTTCCAATTTAGTATATACTGGAATCAAACCGGAGATTACATCTTAATCCTCATACGTTATAAATCCAACATTTGCACTAAGATTCCTTATAGTGTGGATTATGGAGTACCAAGAAACAAATTGCAATTTCTTTTGCAAACATAGCCTCAATGGTTTAGACTTTAGACTGGTACAACAAAAGTGTAGAGTAGTGTTGTTATTGGCAACCCTGATGGTGCATCCAAAATTTCAGCTGGTTTGATGCTCCACCTGCCTACTAGGTCAATATCAATAGCATTGATTGCCTGCCGCTTCTTGCTACCAATTTTCTCTTGAACATTCCCACATCCCTACCTTAGTTTTTGGTTCATTTAATATAATTGATATTTTTGGAGTTTTTTTTTTTTTTTTTGTTTTGTTTTAATATTATATAATTATAGCGCCAATGGTTTAACTTGAGGTTGGCGAAAAACACTAGTGAAGGATGACGATGACCTTCACTTATTGTAGCTTTTCCCAAATAGCAAACTTTTATCAATTACAAAAAGCCAATGCGAATTGCCAACCAATCGTCAGCTTTACAAATTAGTGCCTGAAATGTACAGAATAGAGCATCCAACATTTTCATGCACAAAAACTAATCTCCTAATTTTCAAATTGTCACTATTCATCCTTTCTCATTCAATGTCGTATTTTAAACTCACCAGTATTTAAAAAAAAAAAAAAAACTTGAAAAATATTAAATATTGTTTGATTCTTCGTAATTAATAATCATTTTTTGACAAATCTTATTTAAGGCAGTAAGTCCTTCAGAACTGAATGTAGACTTTGAATAATGGGCTTTCGTTCCATAGGTCTTACGTCCAATACAATCATTCTTATACAAAATTAAACTGCTGACGTGGCGAATCAGCAGAAATTAAACGCACGAACTGGATGCAACCTCACAGCACGAAACCCAAAACCGACTTTACTAACCGTAACAGAAACCTAACTAGATCATACTGAACAGAAGTCTTCCGTTAATTCCTACTACACTTGCAATGTCAGGACATTAAAATGGCGAACCCTAGATTCCAGCCACGTGTCCTGAACAGAAACAACGAAGATGGGGGCAATTGCTTGGAGTTCTCTGTTGCCTCTTATCATAGTCTCGTCTCTGATTATGTACGAAGAGTGGGTTTCAACTCCCTCTTGCAAAATCATACCTGGACCTGATCCCCATGAAAACGAATTGGGTCGGGGCACCGAGGAGTTGAAAGTAATGCTTGTTGGTAATTTGTTATTGTTGGGGTCCGAAGCTGGTTATTTGAACCGTTATTTTAGAGATTATTACATGGCCAAATTCTTCAGGGTAAAGCGTTATATATATTTCAATTTTGATACATGAGTAAAAGTCTGCTGTTTTAAATGGGAAAATCTTTCGATAAAATGGTTTTGAAGTAGCGTTAATTTCAAGACATGTGGTCAATCTTGTTCGAATTACATTTTGGTTTGCATTGCTTTCTAGTTTCTGCTGGATCTTTTTTAAGTTAACTGTGTGAAAGAATGCATTTATATTCTTTATGTTTGTTCATACATGTGATGCAGAAATCTTTTCACAGTGTGAACCCTGATATGCTACTAGTATTGGGAGATGTTTCTGCCAAAGGGTCAGAATTGACGAGAAGTCATTGGTTACCAGTGTTCAATCAATTTGATCAAATGTTGGGACCCTTTCTTGGCCTTCCTTTTCATGTTACTTTGGGTGATAGGGATGTAGGAGAATGCAGTGGGCTTAATCCAAAGTCTGTTAATTGGATAGCTGGGAATTTGCCTGGTTTGGATTCAGCCGGTTGTGGTGCATTTGAAATTAGAAATGTCAGCTTTGTTTCGCTAAATGCTGTAGCACTTCTCTGTGGTAACAATAAACTAAGGTTTAGTGTTGAAAAGGTCATAGAGAGGGAGAGAATAGATCCAAGAATGGATGAAGAAGGCACTGCTGAAGCAATTAATTATTCTGGTAAATTCAGTGAGACATACAATGACTTTGCTGGGAGAGAAAATGATATGCCATCCGGTTCTGGTCCTGTGCTGTTACTCCATTTTCCCTTGGACAGGAGAGATGACAGCAAGTGTTCACCGGAGAGTTCAAATACCCGTGAGAGCAGGTAGGTCTATCACTTTCATCAACAGTTACCATTATAAAATATTGTTTTCCTTTATAGCAAATATGTAAATAATCTTGTTTTCGAACATATAATTCACAAGAGTTGTATATAAAACAGTAAAGGATGTATCTTTGCATTGGGAGCTGAAAGCATGCTATTAGATGCACTGTCTTCAGGTTCAATACTAAAGGTCAGATTAGTTCTAGGCCATGTTTTACTGTTTTATTTGTCATTATTTTCCTTCATAGAGGAAAATCGTAGGAAATAGGAACCAATGAGCCCTGGGAAAAATCAATCCTGTATCCAGTAATTTGCCTGTGGTATTAATTCATCTTTCCAGTTGCAATACCAAATTTATATCCGGTCCATGTTTTTTATTACATGTTGAACTTGCTTTTTATTGCTCATGCTGCTTGTTGTTGGTACTTAACCCGTATTGAATTTTTTATATTTTAGGGGGTTCTTAGGGCCTGGGCCTTATGATTTATCGCACACAGTTCCCCCCAATGCTACCGAATACATTTTCCAATCTATCAAGCCAAGGTAACTCCTTTTTCTTTAATCTGCAACGTGCTTTCTTCCTAGTTTTGTTGGGAGTGCCTATTTTCAATCTAGTTGCTCTTAATGGCATTTTTTGTGCTATTCTTTAACTGACCATCTTTTCGAGGAGATGCTTGCATTGTTTGTTGCTTAGGCTATGAGTTTTTCCATTTCATATATTGAGAACTCAAAATTCAAGGCTAATTTTGAAAATGGATTTTAATTACTGGGTGGACCTTCAAGATCTTGTCTCTGATGTTTCTTTTTATTTTATTTTAATTTAGATTTATAGTGCGTCTTTGCCAAATAAAACTGCACCCAAGTAAGGAAGAGTCTATAACCATTCACCTAAAGTGAATGATGGCCCTTCAGGAATTTGATGTATAGGCTGAATTGGCATACAAACTTGGTCCTCGAAACTGACACTGACTTGTCTGAAATGCAACTTTATGGGATTTGTCCTTGCATCTTGATCGTTTACCAAGTCGTAGAACCCAGTTGGGAGGTTAGAAGCCTTCTCTCCATAAAGGCAAATCAAGTTGCTGAATATGCATTCCAAAGAAACATATAACCTTGGTGTGCAAATTGGGCATGTGAAGAGCCCTTTCCATTCCCCACTAATTCCAGGGTACCAAAAGAAAAGTCCGTTGTTGATACATTGATCCACAATTATTGTACCCTTAATTCTCCTTTTTGTTTTGATGTTGTGTGTTAAGAGTATTAATTTATTCAAGTAAAAACTTAATATATTGTGATAAGCTTACGAATAGGGAAGAATAAAGAAGAATAGGGTTTGTAGAATAAGGGTGGATTAAGTGTTTTCTCAGCCACTGACCTTGCATATTTATGTTGTGAGACTAACAACAAAATTTCAGTAAAACCTCAATTGGGGAAACTAATAGTTCAACAGTGGACATTCCTTGATAACCTGACTTTTCACCTATTTCTCCAGTAAGCTGATACATTGCCTCTTTTATTTCTGTTTGCAGCATCATTTTCAGTGCACACACCCATGAATTTTGTGATCACACTCACCCAGATGGAACTCGTGAAGTAACTGTTTCAGCCATGACATGGAAGGCAAGGGATGACCCAGGTTTTGTTGTTGCCACCTTCCATGGGAATAGAAGAGGAGTAAGTGTTACCTATTGCTCTCTTGCTAGGGAATCTCATATACTATTAGCCTATGCTTCTGTTCTGGTTCTGTTATCGTCATTTGTACTTGTAGCAAATATACCTCAATGGCGAAGTTTAAATGACTAATTCAAATATGACACCAATTCATCTCTTTTTGTGCATTAATTTTTTTTTTTTTTTTCTCAGATGATAAATCTTTTTTCATTTTCATAACTGGACAAATATATTATTTGCCTGTTGAATGACCTTCCTTCTTCCATACTGTCTGTTCCATGTTTTTCCAAAAGCAACATTATTTTATCCCCTTGTTGAAAAATCAAACCAGGTTCCATCTTAACTCCCTCTGTACGCCCCCTAAAATAAAAAAGGAGTATCAGAACTCAGAAGAAAGATGTTAATTTACCATTACATGGATATTGAATGTGTTGATTGTAGTTCTGGAGGTGGACATATCCATTATCTAGAAACTAGAATGATACCGATCTAGGGAATGAGATGTTTGGTGACTGGAAGGACCTATTCGATTTCAAGTTCCAATGCAATCACTGTAGACACTAGAATGATACCTGCGAAAGTTCCTCAGGTAAGTTCTTCCAACTTTGTGCTTATGACCAATGTTTTAATAACCAACCTGGGATGAAACCCAGCAAATCTGGTTGATCGGTTGAATCGGTTTGACCCACTGGTCAAATCGATGTCCAGAGGTTTGAAATTCAATAAAAATACTCGTAAAAATGACATATAAGTTCTTACAAGTTTTAAATCTTGCTAAAACACCTCAAACATCATCGCCGACATCGACAATCAAACCAAATAGGGCCTGTTTTCAGCGACGAAACCACTCTCCTCAACCTCCTAATCAAAACCCATATCATCTCTCCCTCATTTGCTCTGCCAATCGTAAGCGACAGGTCGTTGTTTTGTCCGATTGACTTTTGCCTTTTCCAGTCGATTCACTCACTGGAAATCACTCCCTTCATCACATTTGGACTCATCGACACTCTCTATCCAAAAGCCCCAACATAATTGTCATCATATATTGCCATCCATAATTCTAGGGTTTAGGGTGAATAGTTGAAAGTGATAACCCGTCCAACAAAGGCCTCGAGTCTCGGTTGAACCGGCCGAGCCGGGCCAGGTATCAAAACTCTACTTATGACTTGAATCATATAAAACTTAGCAATTTTGTTAAAACAGGTTCTTCTTTTGTTCTTTAATTTAGGCCTCACCAGCAAGATTTGGCCGATCGTGTGCTGGTAAGGCCTTTTCTCTATGGTCGTTTCACGGCTAAAGATGTTGCCATGAAACAGCTATAGATCTGGTCATGAAATGGCTATAGATCTGGCAATTTTTTCGGCATGGATTTGTGATCCATGGCTATTTCCGGCTTTTTTGGCGCATGGCCGACCATATACGGCCAATCGTGCGTCATTCCGTCGACTGTCAGCGGTGGTGACTGGTTGCCGGCAATGGCTTGGGGTGGGTGGGGGTGATTGTATGGCTGGATTGTTTTAGCAAAATTTCAAATATAGGGGGCTAAAAGAAATTATTCAAAAAATAATAATAATAAATATTATTATATTAATATTTAAAAATAAGGGCAATTTAGTAATCTATATAACATACCCACCTATTTATCCTTCCAACCAAACATATTATTCACTAATTTATACGAACCAACCAAACACATTTTCTAAATATTCATAATAATCTTCAAGGTGATATTTCTTTCCGTTAATATAATATCCGTTTATAATAAAACATTATATGATCCAAACGCCTCCGGAATGTTATATTAATAGAAAATTAGATTACCTTGAAGATTATTGTGAATGTTTAAGGAAATGTCTTTGGTTAGTTGAAATAAATTGGTAGGTATGTTATACAAATTACTAAATCGCCCTCCTTTTTAAATATTAATATAATAGTATTTTTATTTTTTGAATATTTTTTTAACCCCTACATTTCAGATTTAGCTAAAACACCCTAGTAATGAAAAAAGTTTAAAACTTAACAAAAACACCCCCATCCACCCCAAGCCATTGTAGGCAGCCTGCCACCACCGCCGGCGGTGGCGACAGTGGAGATCTGGCCGTGAAAGGCCAGATATTTGGCCTTAAAATGACTGTCGTTTCATGGCCAACGATGTGGCCGTGAAACGGTCGTTTTTCACGGCCATAGATATGACTATGAAAAGCCAGGTCTTGTTGTTTTCGGCCATGGGTCTACCGGAAACAGTCTTAGCGGTGCACTTCTAGCCAGATACGGTCTGTCGTGCACCATTCCGTCCCCACCAGCGGCTGGCGGTGGTGGCCAGATACAACCACCACCCTTGGGTAATTTTTATAAATTTTAGGGGTATTTATGTCCTAAAAACTTTGTATCTAAGGATAAAATAGTCGACTAATATTTTTGTAAATTGTTTTTAACCCAAGGGCATTATTGTCCTAAAATTTATTAATAAAGGGTAAAATTGTAACAAAAATAAAATTACCAAGTAATCTTAAAATACTTTAAAAAATTGAGGTAATCAGATTAACTCTTATATTATCAACAGTAACTACTATTAGTTTTGAAAGATTACTGTAATTTTATATTACTTAACAACCAAACGTGATAATCAAATAATATAAAATGATATTACTTTATCCTTATTGACTCTAAGTGAGTCTGTGTCACCCGGACCAATAGATGGAGACTTTATAAAAAGAATTAGTAAAGCAAGTAATTTATTGCCCATGGGCAAGGTAAGGAATGTCGCCTTGAGGCTTGTTGATGTTAAGGGATTCTTGAAAAGGAATTGGCGATAACGGTTGTTAGCTCTCTTCTTTACCACTAATGTGGGAATAGTCCTGACTTTACTGACAGCTGGCAAAGGGAAGGGAAGTCCAAGCCCCAACCAAACACACCCTTTCCATTGTTTTTATGTGTTATAACATTATTCAGTATTAAAAGAGGTAAAAGGTAAATCTAATGACATAAAGGTGCTCAATACACATTTAAATTTCATCCACAGACTGAAAGTAATTTAAATGTAGAACCCAATAAAAGATTCCCACCAATCTGATTTTATAACCCATGCCGCACTTCGACAATATGGAATCTTGCAGCCCTAAGCTAAAAATTGTAAAGAAAGAAACAATCTAGAGGAGTGGTGGTACTGGTACACATTTGATTGGATAGTATCAAATCCATAAGCAGTAAAAGTGCTTAGAATAAAGTGAAGCTTCAAATGCTCACCTTGAAAATTTGGAATTGGATGCCTAAAGAACATCTTACATCTCTTATTCTTTCTTTGTTGGCAAATAACATTATGATTAACACCGCCTACATGTAATAGGATGTTCTCTTTCTTAACTTAGCTGTTAAATGTTAATAAGGAAGCGATATGCTTACTGGTTTATAACGAAATATAGGAGGGAAGTCTTCTTGTTAAAACATAATTGAAAAATGTTTCTTTACGTATCCGAAGAGATCTTTTTCGGCGGACTGATCTACAAGATCAATCTAGCAATTGGCTTCATGTTTTGAAGAAATAGTTCTGCTTATTAAACAACAATACTAATAGGGTATTCTTCGTCTCCAACAACCAAGAAATGAGTTCCTTCTTCCATCACCATTAACCCATCCTCATTAGCCATGCTAAGGTGCTGACAAGGGTTTAGCTCAAAATCAATTTCAGCTTTTTCTTTGGCATTCAAAATCACGCTTTGGAATCCAACCAACTGTTTCAATGGCCTCCCATTTTTATTCTTTGAATGTTTGACGAACAGCAACACCGGATGTTTGCCTGCCATCTCTCCATGATTTTTAACTCCAACAGTGACTGTGAACTTCCTGGTGTCACAAAATTCAGTGCCCAACTCTGAAACTGGCTGGTAAGCAGCAACATCTTGATTCTCCACCATCTTCAAAGTTGACGTCGCATTTAAATAAAGTTTTTTACGAGTGACACAATTGAACTTGTATGAATACTTAGAATAGCTGAGACCATAACCAAATTCAAAAACTTTTTGGCCTTCGTAGAATCGGTATGTGCGCCCTGGATAGCCTGAAGTTGATTCAGAACGCATTCTCATGTCTGTCATTGCCACTTTGACGAAATCATGTGGATACCAAGTTATCGGTAATCTTCCTCCTGCAAAGCAACATATATGCACCTTTTTAATCACAATAATAATAGCTTTAGATGGTTATGCTCAAATCATGTTAATCAAATAGTAAAACCAAATTCAATATTATTGCTTCTTAATAGCATTCTCAATAAATTTACCTGGGTTGTGGTCACCAAAGATGATTTCAGCAAGCGCAATGCCTCCAACCTCACCAGGATAACCCGCCCACAATATGCTTCCAATATTGTGGTCAGACTTGGCAAAAGATATGTCAACCGGACCTCCGCAAAGAAGCACTAGAACAACTGGTTTCTTTGCAGCTTTTGCAACACTGGTGATGAGCTCTTGTTGCTTCCCCGGGAGCAGCAAGTCCAGGCGATCGTGGTCCTCTCTCTCTTGAGTTTGGTCTAATCCCATAATCAACACCACATGATCCACTCCTTTTGCAATGTCCACTGCCTTGTCAATTGAAGCTGAAGAACATGCCACTGTATCACAACCAGGGTGATAAACTGTGTTTTTGACATAGTTTTGCAATGCTTGCAATGGTGTGATTGATCTGCACGGAGGACCTGCATAGTTTCCTAGAAGTGTTTGAGCAGAATTGGCATTGGGGCCTATAACAGCAAGGGAGATGGATTTGGATTTTGGCAATGGGAGGCGCTTGCCAGAGTTCTTCAATAGGACAATACCATCTTGAGCTGCTCGAAGGGCTAGAACCTGGTGAGCAGGAGAGCAGACATTGTCTGCACCAATATTGCCAAAAGGCTGTGTCTTCGGATCACCATTAAAAAGTCCTAACCTCATTCTAACTGAGAAGAGATTGTGAAGGGCTCTATCTATTTCATATTCAGGCAGTTTTTTCTGCTGTACAGCTGATTTGGTATGTTTCTGCAGGTAGTTTCCACAATTAACATCCATGCCTGTAAGAATTGTTATGTTAAGGCAGTGAAAAATGTCTGTCAGTTCTACATCAACCAGTAATGTAATTAAGGTGGTCTATTACAAAACGTATAAACTCCATTAATCTAATCAATAGGAAGTCTGGTGAACATTGAACTCAAGATCAGTTGATATTGAAGAATCTCAATGGGCTGGCCCTAATTTCATTCTAGTATTGCTATTTGCATCCCTTTTGTCTTACACTACCAATTAACATGTCTAATGCGACCACAATTTCAATCAATTAGAAAGGCAGGATCTCAAACTCATTACTTACACTTCCAAAAACAATCACATGCAGTCTCTCGTTTCTATCAAAAGCATATGAAAAGTTCCTGTTTCAATAAAAATGCAAGCAGTAGTTGCAGTTTTAACCAGGCCTTTTATATTACAAATAGCCAAAGTCAGCCTCAAAATGATGGTCATGGCACGCCACTAAAAGTTAAAAAGGCAAGCATTTCTCATCCAATTGATGGAAATAGTCACAAACATAGCTGGTGAGAAGTGATGATGACAACAAAGCAATAAAGCAATGGTCCAACCATGAAAAGGGAATTTAATTTAAACAGACAACTGGGGATCCCATTAATAAATCATAACCCCATAGCCATGACTCTGGCCTTCAGTGCAAGCTGTTAGCCCATAATGGACCCTCAATATGAGGGTCCACATTGGATCACAATCGTCCACATCTAAATCCAAATCCATGAGTTAATTGATGATGATGTGCACAGCCAACAAAGAGACAACCGACATAAAACCCAAAGTCTATGCTACAAACATAGGACATAATCACATGAAACTACAGCATACCAGCTTTAAGCACAGCAACTACAGCATCTTCCGGTAATTTTGCATACCCTTGATCATCATGGATAATGGAGACGGCATCACAGTCCGATGTGATGTACCTGATCATTTTTCAATGTTTAAGAAAACGTAGATTGCCTTATTATTATTAGAATACAGATTCCATTTTACAAAGTCACTTTCTTTACCCATGAAAGCCCCATTGCCGTCTGGCAATTTTGGTCAAGAGATTGTAATCTGCACAGCTTGGAACTCCATTAACTCTGTTGTAAGCACACATTATTCCACTTGCTCTACCTTGCTCTACACAGCTCTGGAATGGAGGCTGGTATGTGTCCGCTAAATCTTGAGAAGTGACCTAAACCCGCAAAAGCGCAAACAATAAGAAATTCGAGATAAACCATAGCACAAGAACGTTTCCATTTCAAAATTGACATCTTTATGTAAAAAAGGAAAGAATGAACAACCCCCATTTTCTTCTATTAAAGCAGTCAATTTACACAGGTATTTTTATTCTTTACTCAAACTATACCATAATCAAAGTCCATGAAAATAAGTCCTACAGCAGATTAAAGCTTTTCAGTTCATTATCAATTTAATATAAAGTAGGTTTGTTGAAAACAAAAAACTTAAAAGTAACATTGATTAGGATATCAACTAATCTGATCTTTGAGATGGAAAATCTATTAACTTTGTTAAAGCAATTATGCCAAGGAAGAATCTTTAAATCAAGTTCTAGAAAGGCACAAAATTGGGTATAAAGCAACCAAAAAAAAAAAAAAAAGGTCCAAGCAGGATCATTGGTTTTCACTTACACGAGCATCAAAGATGTAGCGAGTGGTGCCCTGCCATCTATCCAAATCATAAGCAGTAAAATGCTTACAACAAGCTGAAGCTTGAAGATGCCCTTTGAGCTTTCCTCCCTCGAAAGTATCTCCCTGAAGGCCTCTCACATATGAGACTGCATACTTTCCAGTAACCAATGGATCCTCGCCAGGTGTCTCCTGCCCTCTCCCCCATCTTGGATCCCTAAATATATTAATATTTGGTGCCCAAAATGTCATCCCAATCGCTTGCCCAGCATTGTACACTGCTCTAGCTTCAGTTCCAATCGCCTGCAAATATTGTTGAGGACTGGTTTTTAGGATAAAGTTTTATACTTTTGTTGAGTCAAATTACAAAGTGGAGTAGATAAACTTAATACTGATGACTTCACCTGACCAATGCGATACCATAAATAGTTATCAAATGAAGCGGCAGTGAGGATGACTTGAGGAAAACTAGTGGCACCCTTAATGCTTCCATTGAAAAAAATGCCAGGGCCTGCATTTGCTACACCGTGTAGTGCCTCAGACCACCATTGATAAGCTGGAATACCGAGTCTGGGAATGGCAGGAGCTGAGTTAACGAGTTGCGAGATCTTTTCATCTAATGTGAGCCTGGATACCAAGTCCCGGGCTCTTTGGCTGACGGGTAGTGAGGTATGGCAAAATAAGTAGGATTGGGTTGCTGCGTCACATGAAAACGGAGGCTGAGTCGAGTTAACTCGGATTAGAAATGAAATGAAGCAGAGAAGAGTAACAAGAGAGAGATTTTGGAGGGTCATCCCTTCCACGCAGCTGTGTAACAGTATAGAAGTGAAGTGAAAGGTCACTTACTTAACTGGCAGCGGTGGCTCTGTTTGGTATGCAAGTTTAATGACGGAATTAACCTTCTGCCCTGCCCTATAATTTCTCTTAGAATTTTTTTTTTTTTTTTTTAATTAGGAAAAATATTAACGTGATGTTTCTCTTAGCAATTGCTGGTGGTTACATGTATCCATCGGGTAAAGTTGTTTTCTTTCGTAAAGGGCTGGAGCCATTCATATTGAATAACATATGCATGGGACTAAGTAGGAATTTCCAAGTGGCAGCGAAAGTTTGGATGCAAATGCAATGATATGATTGTTGATAAAACAAATTCAACGACATTCTTCTCATCAATTATTTTTAATAAAAAGCTTCGTCTTCACTCTTAAGATGATAATGCATGCCAGCCTATTAATGTTTTTTATCAACTAATTCATTATTTACTGATGCATCATCTTCACTTTGTGTTTGTTATTATCAAAAACAAATCAGGGGATACAACAACAGCATGTGAAATTCCCCATCCTTAATATTTATACAAAACATAAGTTAAAAGAAATATCTTTAACTTAAAATTAACAACATCGATATATCTCTTTTATTGAATTAACATGCATCACGGCTCATAACTTTTATGTTTATGAAAATGTCCCCCACTAAAGAGAAAACAGGATTGCGGGCTGCAGGGCATGGGACTAGGAGAGTTTCTTAAAAGTTCTATAAAGTTTATGTGATGTTTAATATTAAAAAAAATAAAAATAAATCTTGTTTAACAATTCCTCGATGTTTAAAAGTTTCAAAAGCTATAAGGATGTGTTCGGTTTAGAGAATGTTATATTATTGGGATCTTAAAGATTACTGAAAATGTTTAGAAAAATGTGTTTGGTTGGTTTGAATAAATTGGTGAGTATGTTAGAGTATCTTCATTAATTTTTAAATATAAAGAACACAATTTTTATTCAAATCCAATAGACTCTTTAAATTTAATGAAAATGCTCTTTATTTTCAAGAAAGAGACTTAATGTGAGAGAGAATTAATAAATAAAATGTACATGAATTTGTAGTTTATTAATTAAAATTAGGATATAGAGTTAAATTTGACTCTCTAAATGTGGAGAGTCAAACTCACTCTCTAATTTATATTTTAAAAATAAAGAGTATGTTGGACTCTTGTTTTTATGGATAGACTCTTTATAATAAAGAGTTTGGGTCATATAAAGAATCATTTAGAGATACTCTTATATTAATATGTTTGGTTGAGACGAATAAATTGGTAGATATGTTATACAAATTACTAAATTGCCCTCATTTTTTAATATTAATATAATATTATTTTTTAAATAATTTCTTTTAACTCCTATATTTCAGATTTAGCTAAAACACACTAGCAATAAAAAAAGTTTAAAACTTAACAAAAGCACCCCCACCCACCCCAATCCATTGTTGGTGGCTTGCCACCACTGCCAACGACGGTGACAATGGAGATTTGGCCCTCAAAAGGCCATATATAGGCTATGAAATGATGGTCATTTCATGGCCAAATATCTAGCCTTTCACGGGCACAGATCTGACTGTGAAATGCCAAATCTAGCTGTTTCCGACCATGGATCACAGATCCATCCATGGCCAGCGACCGGCGATGGTGGCTAGATTCGACCACCACCTTTTGGTAATTTTTTTTAAATTCCAAGGATATTTATGTCCTAAAAACTTTGTATATAAGAATAAAATAGTCAATTGATATTTTTGTAAATTATTTTTAAAACAAAGGTATTATTGTCCTAAAATTTTATTAATAAGGATTAAAATTGTAACAAAAATAATATTACCAAATAATCTTAAAATTCCTAAGAAAATAGAAGTAATTAAATTACTTCATATATTATCAATAGTAACTACTATTGGTATTAAAAGATTACCGAATCTTATTTTACTTAACAACCAAACATGGTAATCAAGTAATATAAGATAACATTACCTTAGTAATCTCCTACTACCCATAACCAAACACACCCAAAAAGTTATTTATATAAATAGTATCTTTTGGTAATTTTGTGTATACAATATATTTTAAATTTTAAAAAAACTGATAGTGGAACTTACTTTAGATTTTAGGTGGGACTCAAATAACAACATTCTATTTTTATTATGAGGCCAAAAAGGTAGAGTTTATTGTAAAAAGGTCATTAAGAGTGGTGTTATTTAAGCCTCACTCATACTCTTACCAAGCCGAAGCCCTGTTATTAATTTAAAAAAATTATATATGTAAATTCTAAGTTGAAATTACCAAATATATATATATATATTATTATATTATAGATATATATATATATATATATATATATATTTAAAAATTATAACTTTTTTTTGAGTTTTCGTTATTCCTATTTGAACTCAACATAGTGAAACCTTTTTTAACTATAAAATCTATCACCTATATGCTTCTATTTCAAGTTCAAAACCCTCTCCGCTTAGATCACCACCAATCTCAACTTCGAAACGCTGCCGTGAAGCCACGGATCTCAAACGCTGTGCTTTAAGCTTTTATTTCATAATTTTTTAATTTTATCAGCTAATGCAAATAAAAAAGAGAATAATCATTTTAAAATGTTAATTATGTTGTGTACTTAGTAAAACTAACCCGGCTCCTTGCGGAATAGATACATCAAGATCTTTGACGTAATGGACCAAAACCCACCCCGGATGGGTAAAGAATAAACTCCTTTTTTTTCTTAAATTGTCCTTAGTCCACCAGAGTGTCTGATATTGAGCCAGTTTTGTTAGGTGTTTGAATCCCCGCCCACCTGGTAGCAGATAAACAACAAAGCTCATCTTGTTTAAACAAGACTATGCTCCAATTTAAGTTGAACTGGGTTGGGTTTGTTTAAGCTTTGCCTTGATTGATATGGATTGGGGCTTCAGCTCAGTCTTGTTCATGAATTGTTTGGGCTAAGTCTTTAGGGTATTCTTCATCTCCTGAAGGCGGTTAGGACTTAGGAGCACTTATTAAATAAAAAATTGAGTATAGTTAATTTCAGTTGATGATGTAATCTTCTAACAATTGTAATTTATAAATTTTATCTTCATAAAATACTTGTTTTATACTCACCCTATCACTACAAGCTACCTGTTCCCCATTTGTTGGCTATGTTCTAACTTCTCCCATATACTTAAATACAATAAATGGTCGGTCATAAAATATTAATAACATCAGATCAAGTTATCTGTCACTTATTCAAAGAAAAATTTCTTAAAAATTTATAATGAAGCCTCACCAAGGAGTTTGAATATGAAAGATTTGTGGTAGACAAACCAGGACACGTTTCTGGGGTAGGTCCAAACTAAATTAACTCACTAACCCCTCCAACAACAAACACTTTATTTATTGTATTTATTTCTTCAAGGTTTGTTGAGCAAATATAGGGATGTGGGCTTGTGGTTGCGTATGGTTAAATTTTAGTCATTTCCAATAAGGAGAAAATCTTTTTGATTTTGTTAAATTGAACTTGGATAAGGTAATTATTCAAAGTAAACCCTTTAACATCACTAGTGGATTTGGAGTTTTCAAACCTAAACCTTGAAAGCATGTATTGATATTAATACTATTTTCTTTGCTTTATCCATTATTTGTCCAAGTAAATTAAATTAATGAATCCACCATTATGTAGCCTTATAATAAAAGAATAAGAGAATAATCTAATATGCTCTTCCGAGTTTGAATTTCCACAACTGTTAATAAGAGTGGTGATTGGAATTCATACCCAATCAATAGTTTCAGAGTCCCGAAGAATTAGTTGAGGTGTACGTAAATTAGCTTAGACCATGATCATAACAATATGTTGTCTTTTGTATGATTTTTCAGCCATTCTTTGGCAAGTATTGATTTTTCTTTTCATCATATATATTGAAAACGATATCTCGTGAAATAGTGTCTCTGCTGCAAATCAAAGCCTCTTTTTCAGCAATTGCGTTGTGGATTCCAGTCAACAGTGGGCATTGAACCAGACAGAGACAGGGACAATGCTGCCGGATATTTTATTTAATAAACACCTATATATTTTTATCAGAATAATTGCCCTTCAAACTTATTATGGTTGAATTGTCAAGGCCACGGTTTGAACCAAAATTAGAATAAGAGTAATCAATCTGATCCAAAGAAAGCTCTTCTTGTATAACAAAGACAGTTTGTCTATTTAAGAATTGAAAGATATTTTCTCCTTGAAGAACCAAAGGTTTTTAGTGGGTGACAGCGAGTTAGGATTACCTATCCTTATGAAGGGGTCCTCACTCCTCATCTCAGCACAAAAATAAAATCTTACTGTGAATGATCTTTCAAAACAAATATCTTCTTCCTTCATTATCATTTGTTTAAAGTTTAATATGTTAACATTATCCATCATCAAATCTTATGAAACCATAATACCTTCACTAATAGATTCTAAATTCTAGATCAACGAAGGGATCATAATAAGAGGTTTCAGAATCTTATCATGATCTTGGTATGAAAAAGGGCCCGTGCCCACATGATAAATATTCCAAAGAAAGGCGAGAGGATATGTCCGAGCTAAATAGAGCCAATGGGGTTTCAGTAATGTTGGATATGACCTGAAAACCAGTACAAAGCGAGTGTAGAAAATGCATTCTTCAATTATTTAGTCCATATTATTCCAATCATCACACCACTCGCATTCTTTACTTCTCCATATATTTCTTTTATCATTCATACCTACTTTTACTGTCATTTTTCATATGGGAATCGATTAGAATGACCTTGGACAGACTAAATTGTTGGATCTAATTATCTCAAGAAGGTTATAAATATAGTGGAGAAATCAAATGCTTAAAATTTGTTCTCCAATAACTATAAGCATATATTGATACGTAGGTAGTCACAATCTTCCCAGCTGTGAACTTGTTTCTACATCAAAGCATACCATAGGTGTAACAAATAAAATTTGTCATTGTTTAGTCGATAGATGATTATATATATACGCAGTTCAAAGTAAATTCCAAAGC